ACCCCTCAGGCTCCTTCTCTCAAACTAGGCAGACCCCATGTCCTCAGCTGCTCCTCAGAGGACATGCCTGCCAGCCCCTTCACCAGCTTTGGTGCCCTCCTTGGGACACATTCAAAGACCTTAACAACCTTTAAATTGTTTTAAAATCGTGGGGCCCGGAACTGCACAGAGTACTCAAGGTGAGGCCACACCAGTGCCAAAGACAGAGGGACAATCCCCCCTTTTGACCCACTGGCAATGCTGGGTTTGATGCACCCCAGGATGTGGTTTGCCCCCTTGGCTGCCAGGGCACACACTCCTGACTCCTGTTGAGCCTGTTGTCAACCAGCACCCCCAGAGCCCTTTCTGCAGGGCTGCTCTCCAGCCACTCCTCTCCCAGTTTATATATGTCCAGCATTACTCCATCCCAGGTACAGAATCCAGCCTTTGTTCTTGTTAAACGTCATGCCATTGATACTCGTCCACAGATCCAATCTATCTAGATTCATTCTGCAAGGCTCGTGTCCCTTGAGACAGGCAACAGCACCTCCCAGTTTAGGGAGCAAACTTGTTAATGGTGCATTTAACTCCTGCACCCAAATCATTAACACATACATTGAACAGAGCTGGCCCTAGAGTTGAGCCCTGAGGAACAGCGCTGGTGACTGGTCTCCAGCCAGATGTAGCCCCACTCACTGCGGCCCTTTCAGCCCTGCCTTCAGCCTGTTCTTCACCCAGTGCACCGTGAACCTGCTCATCCCGCAGCTGGACAACTTGTCTGGAAGGGTGCTGTGAGGGACAGCACCAAAAGCCTTAGTAAACCCCAGAAAAACTACATTCACTGCCTTTCTTTCATCCACTAGGCAAGTGAAATGACAGAATCTATAAGCTTACTGCAATGTTAAAACATTTAAGAGGCAAATAAAAAGTCTAAGATAAGAATCCACATTATTATATTGCGATATACTGTCTCCTCACTCCTCCTAACTTCAAGAGAAAATTTTATCTTTTTTTTTTTTTATAACTTCATGCATTCACTTTCACTCAACTCCTACCACTAAAATTTTTAGCTAAGTAAATTTTCTATACAGACCTATTAAAAGACATAAAAACCAGTTTGGGTTTGGTGTTTTGTTTTGTTTGGTTTTTTGTTTTGTTTTTTTTTTTTTTTTTTTTTTTTTTTTTCCTCTCCTCTCTTCTTCTCTGGAAAGAAGTAAAGTTTGCATCTAATTAAAAACATATGAGTGCTTTTTTTGTTTTTGTTTTTTTGGTTGTTTTTTGTTTTGTTTTTAAAAAAAAAAAACAAACAACTTAACAGAGACTTCCAAACAGAGAATTAAATTTCAATTCTTATCTTAAAGAGCTAAAGATTTTACTGTTATTAATAGTATTAACTAGCATAATACGTGAAAAGTAAAGGAGTTTATTAAAATTAGAAAGGTTAGTACTGCACTCCTTTTCTGCCTTCAAAGTCTAATGAAGAGTTCAGTAATACATGGTGAGAGTTAGCCCATGATTTTCTGGTTACATTTACAATTAATGACAATTTTCACTCATACTGACAGAAGCAGATGGCACGCATTGCATGTGTCAGTTTTACATGTTTTAGAGATGGAGGATCAGAATGGTACTTCTCTTTTCTATCATTATACTACCCCTATTCTTCCATTCTATTGTCCTTGGTTTAGATTATTTTTATGTTTACAATTTATCACCCATGAGCACCAGCACAACTTTTTTTTTGTTTGTTTGTTTCCAAGGAAAAAAACACACAGTAGAATGTAGCTGATAAGAAGCAACAGAAGTGATTTAAAAAAAAAAAAAAAGCTTACTCATAGGGCTAGCAACAGCTCAGCAAAATCGAAAGTGAAAGTGTCACATGGAGGTAGTTTTAGGAAAAGGCAACACTGTTTTAGTTCAAAACATGGGAAAAAACATTTTCATAAAGTAACCACACACAAAATACTGTTTCAATAGATTTCAGCAGCAATTGTGACAACTTAGAATACTTTTTACATATGTCTCTGACAACACTGAATACTGCCCAAGAACTTCCACCATAAGCAGCTTTTCTGTGAAGGTTAAAAAAAATAAATCTGAAAATATATGTATCTTTTAATTAGCAAAATAGGATGACATGGCAAATATCATGGCCACGATGGTAAAAACTATTGGCAAACCTACAAGGTTTTCTGTATTAAAGTCTCTCCTGATGAGAAAGCTGATGAAGGGCAGTAATATTCATAACAAAAAAATAAAGCACTTCCTTGCCAAAAAGTTACCTCATATAAAGAAAAACAAAACATCCCAGTTCATTACCTCTCCTTCTCCTTACCAAATAAGATATTTTCTGATAAAAGGACTCATATTACTGCTTACACTGCCTGTTAGTCTCTAGGAACACACTACTGTAGCATAGTAAAACCAAAATTCCTTACAAGACCAGATCTTAATACAGTAACTGGTATTATAATCCTAACATTCAAATATTTGAAGTTATACTTAAAGCCAATTTCAGATAATTTTAAAATATATTTGTGTAACAAAACACAACAAAGTATAAGCATAGCAGGCAACATAATACCTACAGGAAAATGCTCTTCAAGTCAGCAAGTTCTGAGTTGGCAACTTTTCAAGTGAGGACGACCCTTGGCAGTATCCCAGCCCTGACCCAGTGTGGGCAGTACCACCACACAGTGGACGGCCTGTTACAGATACTCCAGGATTTACCCAGTCAGCATAGCAAACTATGCCAGACCCGAGCTCACTAAATGCATCCTCTGGAAGCAACAAAAGACCTCAGGGTCTAGGAAGTAAGTGTGATACCGATGTGCTTTCCCACCATAACAAACTTCAACTTCATTCTTCATCTAGACATAGACACCAATTGCTCTAGCCAACACCTGGGACAGAATATACCGTTAACCATAAAGACTGCTTTAGTACACCGCATATACAAAGTCTAATAAACTGAGAGTATCTGGTATAAACCTGTATTAACCTGGAGGAGTATTAGCAGAATTTTCCCAATGTGTTTTCTGCCAGTCCCAGCATAAACCCAGATTAAAAGCCAACACAAATAGGGAAATCCCAGAGAGCTGGAGACTGCCTTCACAGCTTACCTGGACAACATTTTTTTTTATACCATTCTCTACTATAAAATAACCAAAACCATTCTGCTGACACACTCTCTCCCTCTTCTGTTTATATAACTGAAAGAACTAATTTTCATAAAAGCCGCTTGTAGTGAACATATTACTAGTGACCCCTTGATAGTCATTGCTCCCTTTCCTGAAGGGCACCTAAATCCTTTCCAAGCTGCACTCATTCTGTCTCTAGCTGTACCACATCATTGCCTCAGCAACATTTCAAGGTTTCAATGCCTTAAAAAATACTTCTCATTCTGAAGTAATGTTCTGTTGAAAACAAGTGCTCCTTGCTAAACATGAGAATATATTAAAAAAAAAACAGAGCATACATATGGGGAAATATACCATCTTAGTTTCAAAGCTGATTCAATTGCTTGGTATTATAGCCTGGCCTTGAAAGTACAGATTTTGGAAAATGGAAATATCTCCAGATGTACTTCCATCTTGCAAATTTAAGTTTTAGCTAAACAAGAACAAATATTATAAAGCCCTTGAATTTCACTACGACAAAACATTACTCTAGAGACTAACAAGCAGGCACACAGTTACAGAAAATTAAGAGAATGAAAACTCAGTAATTTGTGTAGCACAAAATCACAGAAATGTTGGTTGGAAGGGACCTTTGGAGGTCATCTAGCCCAAGCTCCTCCCAAAAGCAGGACTGGTGCTGGACTTGACCAGTGCTAACAGTTCATCAGTTGAAGCTCTGAACAGCTGAATCTTGAAAACCTCTTAACAGTTTCTCTGGGTAACATGTGCTAGTGCTGCACTAACTTCTACAGAGTCTTCCTATAGTTCAACCCAATCCTCCCAAGCTGCCCCTGGCTGTGCTCCCTGCTGCCACTGAGATCAGTCTGGCTCCATCAGTCACTACGTTAAGACTCAAGCTCAACTGATTGTATTGGTTAGCCAAAATTCAGGCATGAAAGGAAGCCATAGGAAAACAAAAAAAAACCCACCAAACAAAACTTGCCATAGCAAAAATTAACCTGCAATTACTTTAAGGCAGGTCCAGCCTTTCCTGAACTTTCAGTTTCAGCAAACTAGCTTAAGACTCATGAGATCTTACTGGCATAACTCTGATCGCCAACAATATTTAGAGGTTTAGAGGACCATCTCTAAGAAGTAGCTTTTATTGTCATGAGAAGTTGCCTAATGAGTAATGCACCACATAGTTTATAACCTTGCTTACTCCTTGATATGCTAGATCAGAAACACAGCATCTGAATCCTGAACTGGACAAAACCAAAAATATTTGATGCTATACTTATTCAAATTAATCCAAATTATCTGTTTTCCTATAAATTACTTCACAGCATATTCAGAAGTTTAAGACTATTCTGCATCCTTTCTCTATAGGTGTTGCTATTCCAGGTAAAGCAAAGAGTCCACAAAAATGCACTAGTTTTATGAAATCTAGTTTTAAAAGAGGGAGGCAGAAATTTTTGAACTATATAAATACGTACACCATGGTATTGGACATGCTCATCCAAAACTAAATGCTACTAAATAATAGGGGACTACAAAATAATCAAATGCAAGCTAAAAGAACAGTACTTAACATTTGTAAAGGAGACTAAAATAGGAAAGATATGTAATTTTCCTTGATGTGGCATTCTAGTTAACATTCAGGCCACATTTTATCATCAAAAGGCCCAAACACAGAACCACCATTTACAGAATTAAAATCAATTGCTTCAAATCAATATTAAGTGGGTTGTGTCTGAGGAGCAGGCACAACTTAAAACTCATGGCTGCTTACTGCACCAAGAGGCCCAGGCTCTGAACAGTGAGACTAATTATTATAAACCAACATGAAGGTACCAGAGCACCTGAAGAAGCCTAATGCTAAAAACATGGTACCACAGATACCTAGTCTGATAATTGTTCGGTCCAAAGAAAATCTTCCTTCAACCAAAAAGTCTGTCCTTCGTTGCTCCTGACTTGCACAGGATTGTGTTTCCTTTACTGTTCATTTGTCTCCTGTGGCTCCCCTTCCTCTCCTCTTCAGCTTTATTCTCACAAAATTCCTGCAAAGTAGTAAATCGCATCTTCCTATTCTGTCTGTAAGAGTAAAATTAGCTCCACAATGCCTACTCCAACAGAGATTTCACCTAGTTATGCAGTTAGAGATACACCTTATCTTACAGTCTATCCTCTAGACTGACTTCCTAGCTAGTTATTTACTGAAAAAAACCAAATATTCCAGTAGTGTTGCATTCGACATGCACTAGAGACTTTAATCAAAATACAACTGAAAAATTCAAACTGCTGCACGCCCACAAAATTCCCTGAACATAAGCACAAGATACTGTGTGTAACTTTTTGGCAATACTCTAGATTTTTAATTAAGCAACGCAGCAAGAATTACAAGTTACAAATACACAACACATTTAAAGACTGCGAAGACTTCCCATCAGAGGGGTAAGGGCAAGACTTAGCATCTAGGAGAGAACCCCTTACAAAAAGTTTGGCTTTACCCAAGCATTCAGAACTAGAGTAGTTCTGCTTGACCCTGAAGTAGCAGCTCTTACCTCTCCCCGAGGCCAAAATAACAGTTCTCATCCAACATGCAAAATGAATACACAAAATATGCTTGAGTACAGTTCGTATGTCATACAAATTACTCTTATATTTATAATGTACATCTGGTTTCATACCAAGGAGCCCTGAAATAAGTTCTCACCAAGATTCTGAAAGGTATGCTGCCAAGCAGATGGCTAGGTGTCAGACAAAAACAAAGCAAGAGGAGCAATTAACTTGCTTTGGTTAGAAAGCGAGTGGAAACAGAAGTATTTGTGATTTTGCTAGCAAATTGATACTTTGTTTTGCCCGATTCTTATTATTTCTTCCACATGACGTTTAAGTCTTACTTTCTGCAAAATGATTATACAACTTATTCTAAAGTCATGCTATTTACTTAAGAACTGTATTTGAAAAATATTTAGATAACTTCTCCCTGTAAAAAAAAAAAAAAAAAAAAATTATATCCACCGGTTTGTTTTTAAGTTTCCTTGAGAAAGAGGTTTCCTCAATTTCCTATGCTTTAATGGTGATCTAACAAAAGTAACAGGGCAGTTGCACAAATCACACATTTGTACTGAACAATATTTTTCTCAGAACATTGGAAAAACGTGCTGAATAGTGCAGGACATAGTTTGCAAGCTAAAAGGAGAAAGAAAAAAAGTCAAACTTTTGGGTCAGTAGAACATCTGAGGGAATAGCAACGTCACCTCCTGCCATCCCAAGAGTGAGACTCACAGATTCAGAAAGTCAAGTGAAAGTGCTCCAACCTTGGACTAATTTTTCCTGACACCTGAAGAAGCCCTGCTACTGAACAGTGTTGTGCAGAATGCTGCTGTCCTTTCACAGTCACTCCACTTCCTGCTCTACAAGGGCTGAGAAAATGGGACAGTAAACAGCTTGTAGATTTGGTATTGGCATTACTCTTATCCCCATTGCCACTTTCCCCTCTGGGTTCAGACATTTTACTTCTAAAATGAGGAAGGAAGACTTTGTGCCTGCATATGAGTATGCTCAAACCAGACATGGGAAGCAGCATGTGAAAGAACAGTTCTTCAGAGTTAAACAACCCAAAGTGACTTTGAAAATATACTCCATGCTGAATTCATGACACACTTGAAAACACACTTTGCCAGAACTCAAAATGCGTGGAGTTCTGCTTTTGTTTAATCGAGTGTGATCTTAAATATGCAACCGTATTCTATTTTAAGAAAAATACTAAAAACTAACATACAAAAAGGATGCACCTTCCAAAGATGTGCCTCAGATCTCAGCTGCACCTAAGGTATTTAACCACTCCAAAGTACAAAACTGAAGCCTGTGCATTTTATCACTGTTACATCCTTAGACCATACAAAGAACGAGTATTTCAGTTACAGAATTGACACATCGTCCCATTTGAGACCAATACATTCTAATCAATAGTATTCACTTAATTAATTAATTACCAAAACTAGGTTATTGTTCTCTTAAAAATAAAACACCACCTCTTTTTTGGTTCAGATGTTCTAGACTAGTCTTGCCAAAGACCTGAAACTACTCCAGGAATTTAAGGTTAGATGCAATCAGCTTCCCACAGTTATATTAACGTACGTATACAGTATTTTTGTATGATTTGTGTACATGTACAAATGGCAGTCACATGCAATAGTTGCATGCAATTAAAAAAAAAATTAAAATCCAGTGATTTCTTGCAAAAAACAGGGAGGGAGAAGAAGTGGACATAAATGGGAAGTGGCACAAAGACAGCGCAAAGACATTTTAAAAATCTCTGCCAAATCTGGTCTTAACTCTTCTTCACATCTGTTACCAGCTCTCTGAAGCTGACTTTGTAGCCCACCCAACATAAGCTCACAGAAATAAAGATTTCACTGCAATTTTTACTTCACTAAGTACTAAATACTAAGCAACAAGGGATTATAATCCATTGTTTCCCATAGTTAAACCAACTGGAATCCAAATAAACCTTCTGGGTATCAAAAGTATATCTTTTTTATCATGTCAGCATTTCTCTAAATACCAAATACTAGTCTTTAAGCAGACCAAACATCTTAATGATTGCCTCAAACATCAAGCATGATATTGGTTTGTTACGTAGGATACTCATACACTTTTTTTCTATGTTTTCTCCAATTCAACAGCAAATATATACCCCAAGGCTGCCAGCCAGACACTACCTGGACAAGAACAGCTCTTCTTTTGCTCGCACAGAATTGTGGGACTCTTCCTGAAATATGTCAGTCATTTTATGTACTAGTGGGAAACGCTCAGGATTCCATCACCCCTCCAAAAACTATTCAACAAAATAGTGCGAAAATTTTCTCCAGGCAAACTCATGCCCTGGAAATTCTTCAGAGCTCTTAAGAAACAAAGTATTTTAAGAAGCTGACATCCATTTTAGAATATAGGATAAACTTTTGTAAGATTTTTCACTGTTAACTTCTATACAAAAGGAAGTATCAGGTTTTACACATTACCTCCATTTTTCTCCTTACAAGACTTTAAGGGCATTGTAAGCAATTACCCAGCCCAAGTAGCAGCAAATTTTAGCTAAGATCTACATCTGAACCTTTAGTATAAAATACTTATTCCAACACATCTTCACATAATTCATCCAATTTTTCTGTCAATGCTAGATAGAAATTAAGCCCTGATGTCTGAAGTGATGCTGTTTCAGAGCTTCAGCTGATGACCGAGTAGCTGATCTTAACATGAAAAGTGTGATGTCATTCCAAATCATTTGTTTGGTTCTTTACTTTATAATCTTCATGATTTTTTCTTTCACGCTTTCATTTTTAATCTTACTCCTAGTTGAACTTAACAGAGAGGCAGAGAGATAATATATGTTATCTTTTAACAGGATCGCTAAGGGTTTCAAATTAAGAACAGATTTTTAGCAGATACAGTTAAATTAGAGAACATTTTAAAGGATCACAGATGTGTTGCTTAAGTGACTCAGCTAAGTTGCTGGATGCTGCTGGCTAACATGTGAAATCACAGTCTCTGCTGTCACAGGTGTGATCTACCATTACCACATCACCAATTTCTTCTGCAAAACCACTGATAATATTGTGCTTGCTGACTGAATTTACTGAATGAAATCCATTAATCCTCCCTCACTAGAAATTAGGTTTGGCCCTGTAAAACATTTCAACAAATACTGTTATTAAAACATGTTTAACTAGGATGGTCTGACAAGTTTAAAATGGTAGTCTACATTCTTTCATTTGACTGAAGGCCTAGAACAATTGTGCTAAACTCATTTTGAAAACCTCATGGCTAAACTTGAGAATTTATGAAAACTGAACTGCATCATGTCAAGAAATTCACATTCTCACCCAAATGCACCAAAAAGAACATCTAATCCATCTGAACTAAGAGTTCAGTAATTCACAAATTTCAACATTGCTGAAAAGGTCAACTATTTCTTTCCTGACATACCAAGACTATAAAGAACAACATTCATCCTGAAAGAGTAACATGTAAATAACAGAAAAATAAAGTTAAGGATATGTGTCAAAACAGCGGGACCACTGGTGCATTTTACCCAAAATATCTGGCCCTGAATACTATCAACAAACAAACAAAACCCCAGTCACTCTGCATCTGGCCTACTTAAAACTGCAAAGCTGATGAAAAACATCTACTAAAAACAATAATAACCCTATTGGCTTATAAATAGAAATGAGCCTTCTCACAAGGTTGGATTGACTAACAATCCCCCAAAACACCAGGATTTCCAGAACAAAATGACAGCTCTCATAGCAATTAATGCTCAACACAATCCCACACCATGTTATAAAAGCCCAGATGACATAACATGCCTAATAAGGTACTGACAACACTGCAGAAATACCATGATGGTCTTGTACCTCTAAGCATACTAACATTACTTTTTTAAAAAAAAAAAGTCTCTTTCTCCGAGTTTAGTATTTGTGGCAAATATTTTCCGTGTTAAAGTCGATCACTGTACTTACACCTGACTACCACGAAATTGGGAACTGACTCACGGCTAGCACTTCATCAATGAGTAACTTTAACTGCTACTGCTGATCCAACTGCTGTAAAGCTTAACCAGCTCGCTCTGCAGACGTGCCAGTGTAATCCTTAAAATCTATGCAAACCCCTACATGTCAAGAATGAATGACCCGCTTCTAATTCCGATGCTGAAATCGGGCAGTGCCTCTCCAAAGTTGTCTAAATTCAGTTCAACGCTAAAATTAAACCTCAGCCTAACATTCTCCCAGAATGGAAACCAGCGGACTGCACGCCCTGGTTTGTTTCGCACCGTTATCAGCAGGACAAACAGGTCACAGTACCTCCGTGAAGATGTTCTTTGCTGAACTAGGACCTCAGAAACAGAGGGAAAAACAATCCTCCCCCCGCCTGCAGGTGGGCCAGGAGGAGGAGAGGTGCCGGCCGTGCAGGAGGCCGGGGAGCAGGAGTGGCAGCACTACAGCCCTGCCGCTGAGCATCCCCCCAGCCCCCGCGGGCACCCCCCGGCCCGGTGAGGGGACTCCCACACCGCCCCGCCCCGGCTGCCTCCCAGCACATGACCGCCTTCCTCCTCCTCCTCCTCCTCATCCCTCCCCACCCCCGCCAAGCGCCGTTTCTCTCCCCTCCCCTCGCCTCGCCGCAGCAGGAGAGCGGGCGCGGTACCCGGGGGACGCAGCCGCCCTGACGGGG